TCGCTAACGGCTCTCTAAAACCTCCCCGCTAACGGTTCCCACGCTAACGTTCCCCTCGTTAACGGTTCTCCTTAAAACTTCCCCCCTAACGGCTCCCTGCTAACGGTCTCCACACTAGCGGTCCCCTCGCTAACGGTTTTCCTTAAAACCTCCCCGTTAACGGTCCCTTCGCTCACGGCGCCCCGCTAACGGTCTCCTTGCTAAAGGTCGCCTCTCTAACGGCTCTCCCCAAAGCCTCTCTGCTAACGGTCCCCTCTCTCATAGTCTGCTCGCTCACAGCTCTTTCTAATGCCTTCCCCCTAAGGGCTCCCCGCTAGCGGTCCCCTCACTAACGGTCTCCTCGATAATGGCTCTCTGCTAACGGTCCCCCTGCTTTGGGTTCTCCCCAAAGCGTCCCCGTTAACGGTCCCCTCGATAAAGGTCCCCTCGCTCATGGCTGTCCCCGTAACGGCTCCCCGCTAACGGCTCCCTGCTAACAGTCCTCTCGCTCACGGCTCCACACTAACGGTCCCCTCGCTAATGGCTTTGCCCAACGGCTCCCCGCTAACGGCTCCCCGTTAACGGTCCCGTAGCTCACGGCTCCCCACTAGCGCTCCCCTCGCTAACGGTTCTCCCCAAAGCATCCCTGCTAACGCTCCTCTCGCTAACGGTCCCTTCGCTGACTGCTCTCCCCAAGGGCGCCCCGCTGACGATGCCCTCGCTCACGGCTCCGAGGCCGCGCTAGGAGCCGCGGGCAGCCATGAGGCCGCCTCGCCGCCGCGCTGCGAGCTGGGCCGGGCCGGGCCGGGCAGCGTACCCGGCGCCGGCGGCAGCAGGGCGGCCGGAGCGGGACAGGTGCCACGGTAAGGCCTAACGCGCGGCGGCGCGGCGCCACGAGGCAGCGCGAGCRGTACAGCGCACGAGCCGCACACCGCGACGTGGAGCGCACGCGAGCGGCAGCAGCGGGACATGCGCCTGGCTGTGCCCGCCCCGTCCCSGCCCGTCCCGCCGGCAGCGGCGCCAGCCCCACCGCGCACAGGTGTCGCAGGGCGCACAGGAAGCCCCTGTAGTCGCGATAAGCTTGGCTTTTATTACTTATTTATTTATTCATTTATTGGGAGTGGGGTGGAAGGGAGAGGGAGTTAGCAGCCTTCCAAAGCAAAGGCAAAAACGGTCCCAAGGCCCGGCCGGCGGAGGGGAACTTTGGCTCCCCTCGCCCGCCGCTCCCAGGAGCTCGCGCTGTCCCTTGGAGCCGTCACCGCGGAGCCGCCTGTCCCGCCAGGCGCCCCGCGCCGAGCTCCCTCCGCCGGCCCCGGCACGAAGCCCGTCGCGTTTAACGGTTCCCCGGCGCTCCAGAGCAGCGGCGGCTGCGCGGAGCGCTGCCCTGGGCACGTCTGTTCCCCAGGCGGCCCTGGGGCGGCCAATTCCCGTCCCTCGAGCCGAGGCGCTTTTCAGCCGCCGCCTGCCGCGGGCTCCGCGCTTCCCCCGTCTCCTGCCGGTATTATTTCTAGGGCCCCCTTTTGAGGCGCGCCGGGCTTCCCACGCCAAGACTTGAACTCGG